GACTCCCCAAGGTGGGCTGGGGCGAGCTGTCAAAACTTTCTGCATTGTTATTGTTGCAGCTCGAGAAACTTTTGGCGTCGCAACTTTGCCACTGCAACAAATGGTAAAATACAAAATGAAATAAAACCAAAAAAAAAAGACGCAACGAGCGAAAGTTTATGCGGCAAACGAAAAGTTGGTGTAACAGCTTTAAGCGCTTTAAGTTTTGCCAAATGCCAAAGATTGCGCATACGCAGTGTTGCCCTTGCCAAAAGTCAAAGTAGCTGCACTGCCAGGTCAATGGAGCAGCTGCCCTTTAACGTTAACCCCCACAATATCTGCCGGCCGCAAGGTCAAGGCATAGGTCGGCCAACGGTACACTGTACACCGCGCTTATCTAGCTCGGCCATGTATGCAAAATTTGCGACATCCATCAAACGCTTAGCCGAAATCCTGGCGCATAAGCAAAAATTGTGATTAAAAGTGTGTTTTTATGAAGCATTGAGTCGTGACCCGGGGCAATAAATGGAGCGCGGTGCCTCCATGTATAAATTAGCACGACCCACAACTCTGGCAATAAAACGCTTTCGGGCGACGTATACGTAGCGTATACGTAATGCAAGCCACGCTCCACTCTGCTGTTCGGCCTCAAAGAGAAAAGTAGGCAACCGAATGACACGCGCCAACGGAATTTGTAGAAAGTCGTAAAACGAAATAAACACTTTAAGGCGCAAAGTCATAAAAGCACCGAAATAAATTCAGAGCCCAGGGGCTAGGAGGTGTTGCGAGTGTTATGAGTGGTGCGGGAATGTGAGCTGGGTGTGCGCTCCACTAAAGTTTCAACTACAGTTCCGGGCGACATTTTGTGTTAGTTATTGGGCACACTGTTCACAACTGTTGCTGGCGGGGAAGGGGCGCTGGTTGGGCAGCAGCTGCAAGTTTCTCAGCTCAGTTGGTTACGCTCTGCAAATGAAATGTCAATCTGTGAATCTGGCAGCCACTAAAAAAAGAAGAGGAACTTGCTAGCTCACAAAAAAACCCATCCAAATGTAACTGGAATTTAGCACTCGCAGATCGCACATCAGGCATTTATCCAGCCATCAATCAATCAGTGCGTTTGGCCCGCCTGATGGCCAATGCTGCTCGTCTCCTTGGCAATCGTCATGCAATTTATGCAAAACGCTGACATTTATCGCCGAGCATTTTGAGTCGCCCGCACTCGGCTTATTTGACTTTTAGCTTTGCCCAAATAGCACGAAGAGCGACGTCAAGTGTAAATGTACGTAAATTGTATACAAACATTTAAAGGGTCTCAAAGGCTTTAGCAACTGCATATATATACATAAGGGATATGTCAAAGGACTGCCGCTCCTGCTGCTGTTGCTGCTGCTGCCTTGTTGACTTTGGGTAGGCTGTATTTAAGGCCAGATTTTGAGTCAGTTTTAAGTCGGCTTTAATTCTGGAGAATATTTTTGCCATCATCTGCATTGAAGTAATCTGTTTGAATTGCGTCAAGGACTTAAGGAAAACTTTTTAAGCATATATGCGCTTATCAAACAGATGTTAAAGCTTTTAAATTATGCAAAGGAGCAAATAGCAAAAGTAAAAGAGAAATCTGTAAATAAATAGCAATTTCTCATTTCAATGTGTCGAAGCTCTTGAATGCAACGAAAACTGATTTCAATTGTGTCAAGCCATAAGCGCAGTGGCACTTTTTTAATGAACCATTAATTGGAGGTAAATGTTTATTTAACATTCATTTTTTTTTTTTTTTTTTTTTTTTTTTTTTTTTTTTTTTTTTTTTTTTTTTTTTTTTTTTTAATCGAACACGCGCTGAATTGTAAGTGAATTGTATTTGTGTTTGCATTTGCTTTTTTATTTGTATTGAAATTTTAATTGTTTGCTTTGGCTGTTGACACTGATGGCTGTTTGTGTGTTTTGCTTTCCTTTTCTCAACTTCTCTGTGAATCTTTGTGGCAAATAATTGAATTGCGAAAGCAATTACAAGAAATCTGTTTGTTTAAGTAGCAGCAGCAGCAGCAGCAGCAGTAGCAAGTGCAGCGGTGCGTATGAGTAATGTCCAATAGGGCATCCCATGCCGACGGCCGCATTCGCCACACTCGGGCAGCACGAGCGATTCTTTGTTCAGCGATTATGGTAATGAAGGGGCAACTGTGGTATGTTTTATGCAACAGTGGGCTGATTTAGGCCCAAGTCCGCTCAGGCCAAGGGACTCATTTGATTCTTGTTATGCACGGCACGTCGCGGACCAATTGTATACATACCTACACACCTACATACATATCTATGTATATAAATACAGAGAAATATAAATTAAAGAACACGCAACATGAAATAGGTCGACTTCCTGCAAACGAAGCGAAACGATAAATGATTCAATTAAACTACGCAAAAAGTCAATTCGTGACGTGCAAAAGAACGGGACAAAGAAGTTCCCGTTGCTAAAGAAAATTGCATAAAAAATCAAAGTTATTTTAATTGAGGTGACCAAAAAAGAAATTCCAAGAACCTGCAGTACGACACTCTAAGGTGTCTCGCATGCCAGCCACGCCCCCCAATGTCAGGAGACATCAATAGAGAGTTTGGCAAAGACAAAAAGCAATCGATGTAGCAAATCCAAGGAATGCAGCCTTGTATCCAATTCTCTAAACTGAAATGGGCGCAGCAATGCGGCTGGCTTCTAAATATAACCACATATTACTGGCACGTGGCATTTGCTTGGCATATTTATCATGCCATTTGCTGTTTGCCATTTGCCAGTTAGGCGGGCTGCAAAACACCAAAGTCAATGCCAATAGCAATGACAATGGCTCGATAGGAACTCCTCGCCCCGCCCCCACCTGCCTGCACGGTGCGTGCGTGCCGAGCACAGTAGGCGCTGAGCACAATTCAAGCCTTTCGCTGACTTGGAGAGTCACAGCTCCTAAGCCCCGATGCCGGAAAACTTGGCACGTGCGATCAGCATGCGCTGGGCAAACAAAAGTGGAATTGATTGCGTGCCAGATGCTGAAAGGAAATGAGCCAGAGGCTTGGGCAAACCTTGGCATAGGCTCACGGGCGGTGGGCGTGGCAAAGTGAATGAATGAATTCCGTCGCTGTGCGAGTCAGTATAAATAAGTATATTGTAATTAAAATGACGACAGCAGCTGCTTTTAATAAACTGCCAAAACAAATGAAAACCGAAAAAAAAAAAATAAATAAAGTTATTGTAACTTAGAATGCTTGACTAGAAGGTACCCTAGATGGAATATTAATTTAAATAATATATATATTATGTATACAAATTAAAATTGATAATGATTGATAATAATATAAAGTTCCAAGCATTAATTTTATTTATTTTTTTTCTGTATATGTGGACTTTATTTTTAATTTGAATAATTAATTCATAATTTTAGGAAAATATTAAATTGTGAAATAAAGATAGATCAAAGGTTAAAATTTATTATTTGTTTAAAAGCATTCAAGAAAGACTTTCATAAAAGGTAATTGAAAAATGAACACACGAAGTGGATAGGGTCCAGCCCTAATGTTTATGAACTTTTTACCTCACACAAATTTACCAAATCCATATGTTTTTCCAATATAATACAGTAATTGCACAAGCTTATACCCATTTGATTATTTTCTTTGGGTAATGGGTATAAAAAGAAGACATAAGCTTGATTGCGAATATTTGAGCGGATTGTCAGGGACTACACATAATTAACAGAGCAAAGAGTTGCGTTGCGGTAAGGAGGTGGCTGAAGGGTGCCGCAAGGGATTCCGGCACACACAAATACTCAAGTGAAAATGTGTCTGTAGCCTCAAACCGAAAGCAAAACAAAGCAGACAGAAGAAAGAAGCACGAAGAGAAGCTAAAGCAGCGTAATTTTTCATTATATGACTGAGGATGGAGAGCGGCTTGTGTTGTCTTGGCATGAAACGCAAACTGTTTACATTTGTTTCCCTTCAGCGGCGAACGCCAGTGGGCCGGCAGCCAGCGGGCCACATGTTCATTATCTGCCGTCTGACAGGCAGACACGGCTGGGAAGGGCCCGGTGGAGGAGGCGGCGGTGGGAGTCGTTGAGTAGTTAAGGTGTTATCGCCGTCAACAGAGCGAACCCGCATTGCGGCGCTTCAGGTGCGGCTCATTAAATCATTCGGCAATCAGGGAGCAATGCTCAGCCCCTAAGCAACTTGGCGTTTTTATTTCGCCTCAATTTCGGGTCTGTCAATCACAGTTGAAGGCAAATTAAAATTTCAACTCTGCCGGCTTTCAACAGTTGTATCCTTTTTACTCAAAATTGCGCTTATTAAATGAATATTAGTTGATGTTCTTACAGTTTGACAGCCCAAATGAATGAATGCGCATTGCTACAGGCGATAAATTTGCATAGATATAAATCAGATTGAGAAATTCGACACTAACATAAGCGGAATAGTAAACGCTGGGGATCTCAACATTTTACTTATAATGCTCCCAAATCGACATAATTCTCTGAATGATTTATGCGTGCTGTTGGCAGCTTTATGGCACGCTGACTCTTCGACATGTACCGCTTTGCCATATAAATTTACAATAATAATTCAAATGTAAAGCTTCGTTTGCTATCCGTATACGGAAAATGCAAGCGAGTGCCACGTTTTGTTGTTGGTCTTGAATGAAACTGTGTCAATCCATGTATCTCTATATATGTGTGCGTGTGAGTGTGTGTGTGTGTGTCGGTGGATGTATATTGTCCGATTGTGAAATTTGTTTGACTGATGCCCTTAGCTGGCTTAGTCATAATAATCACAACTTCAGCTCCTTGTTAGGATGCTACAATGGTATTACAGCAAACGTTATTCATTCGAGCTCTTGGCCACATGCAAATTGTGTTTTATTGTATTGTTAACGGCTATTGATTGTTGCCGTTGCTTGGCTTGAATCTTAACAAAATCTTAAGGGATCAACTACACGTATTTAGAAGCTCTTTGGTGTGTGGGGATCTTAGACCTAATCACGACTCGGTTGCTAATTAGTAAGTTGTTTCACACATTCATCAAGTTGTAACTTATGTTTACGATTAAGTATAAACACTGTCACATATGACGGCTTGTTAGTAGTAGATTGCTTAGGATACTAGAATACGCTGATAATACTTACAGGCTCTGCATTTGCTTTGGGATTGGGGTAAGCGAGCTTTGGGCTGGACTGGGCTGGGCTGGGAGTGTTACGCATGGATAGATGCGTGTAGGAACCCAATTGCTGACCAGCTTTAGACAAGCTCCGTTTCCATTTGTGCGGCCTCCACTGTCTCCACGATGGTCGTTGTGGCCGCCGCGACCGAATCTCATGGAACGTACCTTGTGGTCAGAACACCATCATCGTCGTCGTCCACATTCAAGCCGCTGCCAGTGCAGCAGCCGCTGCACAGAAGCCAATTGGTTGCGTTGCCGGTGCGTTTTGGTCAAATCGCAGACACCTGCTCCAGCTCGGCACTGGAGCGGCCCGAGTTCATGACCACAACATTCTTGGCGGCATAGTCGGTGATGAATCGATCGCTATTGCGCGGATGTATGTTGCCCACGTCCTGGGCGCAGCACCACGGATTGCGCATGGTCAGGATGCGCTTGAACGCATCCCTGAACTCCTTGTTGAAAATTGAGTAGATGATCGGATTGAAAGCGGAGTTCGAGTAGCCTAGCCAGGTGAGTATCTTGAATGTCTGGCCGCCGATGCACGTCTTGCAGAAGGCAGCCGTGATATTCACGCAGAAGAACGGCACCCAGCATATGAGGAATACGCCCATTATGACGCCCACGGTGACGGCTGCCTTGTGATCGGACACGTGATAGGGCGAGCTGTGGTGCAGATTGCGCACCTTGAACTTCTTCGGCTGGTTCTTGGGCCGACGTATGCTCTTGTATCGTTGCTTCTCGGCCACCTCGCCGGGTCTTGTTACCGCCTTAATTGACTTCACGTGTTTCTGGGCATAGCAGTAGAGCCTGCGGAGTGGAGAGTACACGAGTTCAGGTAATTAATCGATCTTATACGAAACTTGGATTACAGTTAATCAATTTCAAGATGTTTAGAAAATGCCTAAAGCTGATTTTCTCCTTTATTAATAGCCTTGGCCCTGATTTGACTACGATTATAGGTTATGCGCTCTCTGCCAAATCCAACGTAATTTGATAATAGTAGTAGAATAGTAGCTCGGCCCTCAAGCAACGTTTGCCTAACGAACCTATCGAACCGCCTTGTGTAATTTCAATGGAAGGGCATTTGATTAGTGTCTATCTAGTTGTTGACCTGAGTGTTTCTGCCTGCCGCCTATTGTTATAAGTGATATGATAATTATTTACTTTTGCAGCCCTGCCAATTATCAGCCTGCCCCAGGGAACTCCCACTGGGCTAGCAGCTCGCAATCGACAGCTGTCTGCTGGGCCACACAGTGCGTATACTCAATACGCAACGTAGCTCTGCGGCGTGTACGGCGTGTACGGCGTGTACGGCGTGTGCTGCCATACATGGCCGCTCATTTACCGAGCATACGGTCCGGATGGAAACATGAAAAGGATAAGATGGCTACGCACAAATTATGGCGATAAAAGTCTATTTACTCTGTAATTCAAACGAAATTTGATAGAACATTCCACTGGCAGCCACTAGATGCTTTAGTGGATGCCCGGAGCCTCAGCTCGATGGGCGAACAGCTTGTCTCCATTTGTTGCCTAGTTGCCCATTGGCCGCAAATCTCGTTAAGCCAAAATGGCAACGTGCCCAACGCCGTCGGCTATTTTCCTGATGAGCGGCCCTATCGCAGTGCTGTCTGTGATGATGATGATGATGATGATGATGTTGTTGGCATCCTGTTGCCGCCCCTACACCTATTGTCTAGCCCTTTTCGCACACGCCCTCTGCCCGCCTTTGGCTTAGCTCAGGGATTACTTAGCTGGACACTAATGCGTGTGCTTATTTGTTTGCTTTATTTGCTTCGCGTCCCACTCCCAGCACTCTCAGCACTCAAAGCACTCAACACCCAACCAACATCCCAGTTTCAGTTTCTAACTTCAAGTTATCCCAATGCAGCCGATCTCGTGTCTGGGCCACATCAGCGTCGAGGTCCTGACGGCCTTTCAGCATTACGAAAGTAATTTCAAAAGTGTTTGCCATTATTTTATTATTTCCGTCTTACGACTTTTCGTAGCACATAAAAATATTTAAGTTCTTATTATATTTGCTCAAGCCACATTTAATTGTTGACCTAGTTCGTCATCAATTTGTTTATAGGTTAATTGCCTTAACTATTATTTATATTCTGGTTGCAATAAATTCTTTTGTAAGCCAAGTTAAATTGTTTTCCTATATATGAAGTATTCGATAATTGAAAAGACCTTGATCTAAATATATATTTGAGATTTAGTATTTAGTATTTCCTGCTTGCATTTAATTTTGAGCAAAACTCCAAGTGTCGTAAGGCAAAGGCATAAAATTATTTAAGATATATATATATGTATATATATAAGTTTAGCTGTTGACTCTGCACATCTCTGATTTGGTATGCCAACCATTTTCATTTGAAAGTTTTCCCATTACATTTGCTATTCCTTTTGTTTGTGCTTTCATATCTGGCCGCTGAATAATTGTGGCCCGAGAAGTTTTGGGCCATGTTTCATAGAAGTTTATGACGGTACTTATCTAACCATACTCACCGACAGTAGATGCCAATCATGACCACACAGGGAAAGTAGAAGCTGATACAGCTGGAGACGACAGCGTACGTGGGTGTCAGGTCCAGTGCGCATGTGGGATACTTCTTGCCATTATCCATGAAAATCAGCGGCTGGTCGGGTCGATGGATCCCCAGCGAGATGGGCACAAACGAGACGAATGCGGCCAGCAGCCAAATAGCTGCAATGGTTATAACAGCCACCCGGCGTGTCACCCAGCGGCCGTATCTGTAATGAAAGTCACAGAAAGAGATAGAGAAAGAGGACCACATCAATTTTGAGTAAAGGAAGTGCTTGTGATTGTCCCTTGCGGTTGCCTGCAGTAAAATGGTTAAGCGACGGCAGCAGGAGTAGTCCATGGCAAGAGTCAGAAGAAAGAGTCGCACATTATGATTGCGGCTTTGCGTGCTGAGGGCAGTCCGGGGCGACACCAATTTCCGAGAGCAAGCGGCGACAACTGTTGCGGTGCAGAGCGGTGCCGAAATTCAGCCGGCCAAAAGGTGCGCATGGAACAGTCGTGTAATGGCCACTGCGGTTCGCCTGCATGTCATTAATTACCCGAACAGCGTAGGCGGTGCCAAATCAGCCTGAGCCAAAAGCCCAACCGCAGCACAAACCATTGAACACGACGCATTCTCCAAGGGCTGTGCGGTGATATACAGATATACTACATAGTATGTCTGTATGTAGGCCTAGCTTTGCTCTGTGCACATATGCAAATCATCGTGTATGGATTTTTGTAGCACTTCGATTTTGACAACGGTCGCACAATTTGCATTTACAGCAACGGAAATGAGCAGGCAGAAACGCAGAAAGCTGATGGCATTTTATGGCCCACTGTGTGCATGTGTGTGTGCTCGTGTGTGCTTGTGTATGTTTGTACACATTGGCATATGCTGCCGCATTTTGGCTTGTGCGAATGTAACCGCCGGCTGTGCGGCAGACATGGGCAGGAAATCAAACAAAATAATTCAATTTCAATTCAAAGACGCACTCAGTCAACGTGCAGACCGAAAATACTAAAGATGACAGAGGCGTCTGCAGCAGGTGGGCGGGGGAGGCCGAAAGGACAACAAAGCGGAAAAGGAAGTTTTGGTAATTGTGTTCACAAACAAATTCGATTTCATGTGCCACCAAAATTGATTTCTATTCGAGCAGCGACGACATCAGCCCGCACCGGTAGCCATTTAGTTGCCACGCCAAGCCCCCGTCCGTAAGCCCATTGGAGCACAGGAACTGGCACAGACACTGAAAGTAAGTGCAAATACCTGACAGTCCTATTACTCCAAAGAGTTTGCCATGTGCCAAGTGGGGCTAGACGCGTCCACTGATGGAGCAACCAATCATACCCCAAAGAGCTAATTGAAATCGTGTGACTCTGTGTCAGTGTGTGTGTGTGTATGTGTGTGTGCCTCAGTTCTAGACGAAAGTCCGCCCGCATTTGCATTTAATGTTGCCCCTAGGTGTGTGTGTGAGTGTGTTGCACGCACTCAAGAAATTGGAGACAGACACGCACGGTGCTAGCTGTGCGTGTGTGTGTGTGTGTGTGTGTGTGTGTGTGGGTTGGGGCTGCATAGCTCGGCTAACTCTGTCGTTTATTTTGTTTGCCTCTTGTCATATGCGGTTTTATGAGCGTTTTGCACAGTGAGTGCCTAAATGTTGCAAGCACACGATGTTGCGATTGTTGCTGTTATTGCTGTTGTTGTTTCAAGTGTTGCGGGCATAGTGGAGAGAGTGCTTACCCAACCCAGGCCCAGGCCCAGCCAGTCCAAAACACAATTACAAACATTCCCAAAGCGGCATTCTCGTTCGCTTTTGTCGCTTAACTGTTATACCTCTCGCTCACGCATGCATGTAACACCTATTCGCCCCAGCCCCAGCCCCAGCCCCAGCCCCATTTCCCACTCGCCCTCTCCTGCATGCGGATGACATAAAAAGTTTGCGTCGCTTTTTATTGCAGTTTAAAGTGAATTTTATGCATGATACGAGTGTGCACACATATGTTTGCTCTGGCCCTGACAGTTACGACGATGACAGGCGCCACCAGATTCAACTTTAGCGCATAAAACAAAGCCAACAGAAAATACAACAAATACAACAAAAGTGATGTTCCTTATATCTGGCATAATTTTAACTTTGTCAGCGGCTGCTTCTAATTAGATTTCCACGCGCTTTTCATTCAAATTATTTCTTTTTTCGCCAATTTTCGCTGGCACTGCACAAATCTGGGCAGGCGCAATTAAATTAAACGCTTGCAATTATTCTAAGACGCTGGGAAAATACGACAAATTTCTCTACGCCAGAGGTGGGCATCCTAATGAGACGCCCAGCCCCGAACAGTTCGCGAACTTTGACACGTCGCGCCACGGCGAGAAAAACTGAAGAACACAAATGCTGTCCCTACTTTGACATGCAAATAAATCAGATTTGCATAAAGAGCAACCCAAGCTCAGGGCCAAGCCTGCTGGCAACGTTCTTCAGGGCCGGCACTAATACCGCTAGACAGGCAGCATTCAGACGCAGACGCACCCCCATCCGTCAGCCTTATTATGTATATCTAGCTTCAGACGAAGATCAAATACTCTTCATTGAATTTGAAATGCATTAATAGTCAAAGCATCCTTATGTAAAACATATCTAGATTTGTGATTCCAGTATATACTTTACTAAGAAAAACTATTCCCAATAAGATTTAGTAAAGGATTTATAAAGCAAGTATGCTTGCCTATAAATGTATAAACAAGTTTCTTGGAAATCTCTTTTTATTCGCTCTTAAGAAAATATTTGCAGATTAAATGTTAGATAATGAGTTCTAAGAAAACATAGTTTCATTCATTAGTCTAAGATAAAAGGGAAAAAGGACAAACTGGTTGCCAAGCTAAATTTCAATTTCAATTACATTTCGCATTATTTATTATTTCGAGTTTTCTTAAGAAATTGTTGAACAAAAATGAATACAGTTCCGAAGTTACATTCCTTACGACAGCACTTAAGAACGTGCTCAGCGAGGGTATATGAATGTAGTAGAGTGTGAGATGCGATGCCTGTGAGACTGGGCGTGGCTTACTCGCAGGAGTGCTAGGCCAGAAGCTTGACGCCTTAAGTACAGCCGCAGACACACTTGGGCCAGAAATTCATGGCGAGTCCAGAAGCCAAACTCGATTTCATTGTGTTTAAATTGAACCGCAGGACACGCGCAAATTTGCAGCAAAGTAGGCAATGCTTTTGTTACCTGCCACGCCAACGCTCTTCAATACAAATTATTTGGTCCGAGATAATTTAAAAATAATATTGAGTCTTATAAGCATTATCGCTCAAACGCCTTGAGTACAATGGAAAATATGAATGAAATGATGTTGATGTTAATGTTGACGTTGCGGCCAGCCCAAGAACATCGCGTTAATTACGCTCAACTGCCAATTATTTCAAAATGATGAGTTAATTAAATTTCTCTCAATAAAAAATGCTTTATGGCTTTATAATGCGGAGCCACTGTAGCAGCTGTGAATTAAAAAAGCGCAAGCCAACTTTTCGCATTCAAATATTTTCGCCACCTCAATTTGCAAAATTTACGAGCACGTCAACTTTGCCAACGCAATGAAGTGTGCTCCAGCATCAGCTCATTATGCGCTGAAAGTATTGCCAATAAAGAAGAACATGACTTCATTTGAAGGCAGCAGCTGCAGTGGCTGGAGCTGCCGAAGATTTAGTGTGTAACATTCTTAATAAACAAATAAAGTTTCACCGTGGACTTGGCAGGTGTGTCAGGCGACAGTAGCCTAGAGACTGTGCACATAAATAGAGAGATGATGGACAGCAAGCCAAAAGGGGTATTCTATGGCTGTGGCTGTGCCAGTAGCTGTGGCTGTRGCTGTGGCTGTGGTGAGCAGAAAATATTTTTCCACTTTTGGCTTGCACTGAAAATAGCATCAAAGCATTTATTACGGCTATTTGCAACAGCAGCTGCTAACGTGCCACTCACAGCCAGCAGTGTCTCGTCGTCATATGTGGACAGCAGCTAAGTTCTTTTCTTTTCTTCTTTTTTTTTTTTTTTTTTTAATTCTACTGCCTGAAATCGCTTGGTGGCAGGTCCTTTGCAGCCATTGAGGCACATCAACTTCATTTGTCTTGCTGCTGTGAATTTTTCCTTGGCCAGCGCAATTTCTAACACACACACACACACACACACAGCAAAAGTGATACAAAACCTGTAGGACATGTCTGTCTGCGTGTGTGTGTGTGGTTATTCTATTGTTTGTTCTGTTTGTGACATGTTGCTGACATGTCATAAATGTTCGTTTGATTTTGTCCAAAAATTGTTTGGCTTCCTGAATGAAATTGTTGGTTTCCTCCTCGATTTTTTGCGTTGCGGAATTGGCAAAAACAAATTTAATTAACCCACAATTGTTAAGCCACAATGCGAGGTACAAACGAATCGCTGATATATATAGTTGTTCCCACTTGCCGGCTTGTCCTTTGTGCCAGCTACATTCTTTGACAGCCAATTCGGGTTGCAGGGCCAACAATCTCAGCTGCCACAAAGCAATCGCACACGCAGCTTGCATAGCGCCCGCAGACGACAAAACTGGCAGAGCTGACAAAATGCAGTACAAGCAGCCGAACAAGACATTATGTCACACCCAGCTGTAGAAGTTAAACTGAGGACTTGGCACAATTTCATTGCGTTTGCCCGGACAGCAGACACACACACATATACGCACACACATGCTTTTACACTCGTAAATACTTGTCTACTAGTGTGTGAAATTAAATTGGAAGCAGGTGAATTTTGTGCGTCTTTAAGAAATAATGGTGCTCGAGCACTGCTAATGGCCGGAATTCTTTATCGCCTGTGCTCTAGAAGAAGGACGTCAAAATTTCGTAGTAAATTATTTCAGAATTCCTGACTCAATTTGCAATTGTTTTCATTTCAAATCTGAAATTCAGATGCTACACATGAGACTGCAGAAATGTACAAGTTGCATCAGTTCTGATTTCAATCGTAGAATACTTAAACAGCTTTAAGCACAATGACTTGCTGAATACATTAAAGTAGATGTAAGCTAAGCCAACAAATCAGTGTCTCGTGAGGCAGCGAAAGTGCTTAGCAAACTCTTATATGCAATGGCTAAAAATGTAGTCAGCATACTGATTCTGTTAGTCGGCAAAAAAGAAATATATATATCTATATATAAATATCGGTAATCCCCCATAAATCTGTTACTAATGAAACAATTATGAGCTGCGATTAATGAGAGGCGGCGCCATAAACAAATCGAGTGTCTGTGGAGCCACAAAGTGAACGACCAAAACGCTGGCAATGAGAAACGTGACGTGCATGGCAACGCGGCGGATGAGCAATATGCATGAGGAAGGTTGCTGCTCTACGGCAAATTAATGGATGGGGGCTATGTAGGGGAAGAGGCAGGTGTCACTTCAACTGTCTGTTTTTAATAAATCGATATTTAATCGGTCCTCCATCGGGAGCGTCAATGTCACATCAATAATATTTCCACTCTATTGCTGACATATAAGTACAACAACAGCCCTGCATGAGACTGAGAGTCAATGCTAAACTAAATAGGGTTTGCACTCTGCGTTATGCTAACTCACTCCACGCATAGTTCGGTTTCGTCTGACCGCTCGGTCAGATTCCATGAACAATTAATTTTGGATTTTGGATAGGCTCGTGCGAAGGACGCGATGACAGGCAGCTGAGGCTATTGACAAATTGTATTATTCATGCATGTGACAGTGTCATCAGCATTGTCGTCAGCATGATTAGTTATGGCACTCACCTGAGCGGATCCTTGATGTGTATGTAGCGGTCCATGGATATGGCGCACAGATTCAAAATGGAGGCTGTCGAGCACATGACATCAAAGGCCACCCACGTATCACAAAACTCTGCGCCAAAGATCCAATAGCCTGCAATCAAAGAAGTAAACGGCAAATTATTGATTGAATAATTGATTGATTGGCAAATGATTGAGTAACTGTCGCACTGATTGCTTGTTTAAAATACTTAATGACTCCTCCAATACGACCGACTCACTGTACAAATGCAATTTAAGTGACTATGCATGAGCTGGAGCGGAAATTGCCACGTTCCGGCCGTCAGGAGTCACTGGCAAATTCTTAATTTTCTCGACAGCCAGCAGAGGCTGTAACGAGCGGAAAAGGACCGCAGAGCCATATAAATGTCAAAGCTTCTCAGTCAAGCTGCTATAAAGGGGCATGGTCAGCAAATGCAAGTAATTTGCGTATGATAAGGAAATATATATTTATCAATGGGAAATCTACCAGACAGCTTTTCTATTTTCCACATAACTCCAAGTCGACTATGCGAGAAAAAGTCTTAAAGGACTTAAAGGTGTTTTCTATCTTAAAGTCAGCCCAAATCGTTTTGCCACATGCAATACAATCCGCACGCTCTTGCCAACTGCCTCAAGTTAGAGTTGCAAACAATTTCGTACACTCAATCAAGTGAAATGGCTCTCGACAAAGTTTATGGTATCTGGCTTTCGATCATGTTTTCGTTGCTGCAGAGCTCTTGCTAACATGAGTGCTTGTATTTACTTATTCATAACGCAAATTGGGTTTAAACGATTTCATAAATTAATTTCCGTTTCCTGTTTCGCTGCAGACATCAGGATGGCTGTCTGCAAAAGCATGTCTCATATGTTATTTGCATTTGATTTTTGCTGGCGATACAGCGATCCCTTTTTGATAGCATTTCCATAAATGCAGCAATTACGGAAAAGGACTCTGAACAAAAAAAAAAAAAAAAAAAAAAAACCCCAACCGGCGAAGTAATCTACGTGCTCTCTACCAACAACCCGAGCGGATGTCCGGCGCTCTGTCCACTGCACCCTGAACGCTGAACGCGTGAAGGAAATCAGCATCGCACGCAAAACATATAAATGCTTAGCTATAATAAATTTAATATCAGATCTCATAGCCCAAACATATTTATTCAGCGTGCGTGGGTGTGCGCTGACTTCATGACATTTAATGATACACATACGTCATGCTTATACGTCCGCCTTGGCCTTTACGCCACGCCAGCCATGTCACAGGATATGGCTCTTTAGCGCACAGGATGCGGCGCATCAACAAAAAGGGCTTAGCCCGTCTCAGGCGATTATCTGCCGTCGCAAAGTGCAGCACTGAATGCAGGCTATCGATTACGTAATTTCTTGCTCTATCTGCTTATGCCATCTGCGCCCATAACTCTGACGACAGTCATAAATCCATCCTTACATTGTGAGATCCTCTGAACTTTATAATTCATCTATAAATATTTTACTACAGATGAGTAAAACTCATTTCGTGCAACACTAAAAGCAGCAACCGAAAATAAAAGTATTAAAGTTTGAGGAAAACTATTGTTCAATGCTGAAGTAATTTAATTCATTAAATGAAAGCAGAAATCAAATTGGAATTCAATTGCTAAAAATACATATAGTAAGATAGATATACTAAATGGGCGATGATTTGCGCATTTATTTATATATGTATATCAGACAGTCTTGTAAGTGAGGACCTTTCAGAGTTATATACTTGACAATTGCATTGTTAGATCTTTTGCATTGCTCCCGGCTGACACGAAACCTCGTCAAGTTATTCAAGCCAGCCCTGTACATATATCTATAAATACTTATTGGTTATGCCCAATCCACTATAGGAGTATATATAGAGCATATATACTCAATGACTTTGCGTGTGTATTTTCTGAGCTGGCGCAGCTGCTGCCGCCTCGCAGCTTCCCTGTGGCCCGTGTTGTTGCTCAAATTTGTATAAATATGCTGGCGCTTGTGCGTTTATTTGCTGATTTGCCAGCCTTGGAGCATGCCAAATGTTGTTTTACTGGCACCCACACAGGTTCATGTTTGCCGGCACTTTGTCGAAAATAATTTGACTCAACAGCTCTCAATTCACATGTGTACCCCGGCATATATGTATGTATGTGTGTGTGCTGGCTGGCCCTCAGGCACCTCTGCTGGCACTCCAGATGCTGTTTGTCTTCAACACTCTGCAGCCAGAGCATTTTTATTTATTTTTTCACACTTTCTGCTTACGCAGCAGCAGCAGCAACAACACCACCACCACTAGCAGGAACCTCAAGAACGGCGCCTGGATTCGGATTCAAGCTCTGGATCCATCTCGAAGTAGCAAAGTCGTTTATTATTTTCACGCACAGGCAGACAAACGGAATGACAGCCATACATCGAGCCCCATATATATATGGGGCGCGTTGACGTCGCTGTGTCTCCCGGTTCCTGTATTTGCTGTTACCGAGGTAACGCATCACTAGACTTCAGCACATTTCCTCCAAGCATTGCCTGGCCAGCTGCTTCCCATGTTTTATTTTTTTCATATAAACATACATACATACATATGTATATATACTTGGCATCTCGCCCTCCCCATTAAGTAAATACTGAGCAAGCATTGATGTCAGCTGCATGTGGGACTCTTCTCCTATGTAGGCAATTGTCGCTGCCGGCAAGCAGCAAGTCTTCAAAGTGATTCCTTTGATTTGCCTGCTGTTTGCTTAGAATTTGTACTTTTAATTCTTAGCTGGCGGTTTTAGTACATCAATTCAGAGGCTCTCAAATGGCCAACTGCTGCTGGTGGTCTAGTTATAGCCATGGCATCTCGACAGCTATGCTTTTATGGCCAATAATAATTCGTACTGGCTGGGTTAATGGCAGCAGCTGCATTTTGTATGCAGGCTGAGAGCAATGAAACTCGGCTTAGATATGAGCATACATCAAATAGGCATTCGTGTTGCCTGAGTTGTTTCACCTTTTTGCCGAGTGAAAGTGCATTGTGCACTCAGTGCAGGACAGGCTAATGCTCGATGTGCTTTGCGACCACTCAGCCGGCTGAGCAGAGCAGCTGACACTTTAAAAGGCATTGCACCAAGCCATACGAGGAGCCTGCTTTAAGCGCTGCCAGGCATGTCAAGTGGGCTCCTCTGCCAGCCAGCTGACTGTGCTTCCATTAGCCCCATCGAAGATTCGCTTTTGCACGACAGCCTGTAGCATTTTGCATAAATTTGTGGCTCGAGAACTTCAATTTCGAATTTTGTGCTCCACTGTCTGCGTATGAGATTCACACTTACCCAGCAAATCGTTGACGCCCGCAAATGTCATCACCAGAGAGGCCACGAACAGATCCGCAATCGCTAATGAGGCCAGAAACAGATTGCCAATGCGGCGCAGGCTGCGCTCCGTGTAGATGGCCAGGCAGACGAGAATATTGCCGGCGACCGAGAGGAATATCAGAACCGATAGAAAGACGCCTATGGGCGGGACAGAGAGTGGCGGATTAAACGTATATGTATTGGACGTAAGAAACGTGAACATTCATAAACATAGCATACTTATGAGGGGTCGAGCGTGTGCGTGTGCGTGTGCGTGTGCCTATGTGTGTATACGTGTGTGCTTGTATTGTAAGCCACATGCGTTTCTGTGCACTAATTGAACAGCAAATATTTTGCTCGATACTGTGAAAAGTGGTGAAGTGTGCGAACATGTGGTGGTGCGAATGGTGTGGGTGGTGCGGGTGGTGCGGGTGGTGGCGGTGCTGGTGTCTGTTTCGCTTGTTACACGTTCAACGACATTTACTTTACCAACAACTACAATTGACACAAGCGAGAGCTCTTCCGGTTCCTCACCCACTATTGTATCCATTTCAGAGGCGTTAGTCCAGCTCGTTTCATTGTAGTACGATGTCAGCTGCAACGGTATAAAAATTAAATTTAAGTGACTTTAAGTGTAATCAAGATGGAACCTTTAAGAGTATGCTGTATGCTCCAGATCTGTAAAGTGGCAACAGCTGCCAGCATCAGAATATTATCCTTTGTCTCCACTAAATTCTCCTCTAATTACGTGGCATTCAAGTTGCCACACAAAACACAAGGCGACGCGAATTTTGAGGCATAGCGAGAGCACGGCGCTGCGACAACTTTTAATTAACATCAAAGACTTTGACTTGTCTTCACGCTAAGCTAATTAAATATATAAATTCTGAATATGACACAAACTGCTGCAGAATGAAACATTTTACACTAATTAAACTCCAGACTCTATTTCGCATGAGTCTAATTTTCAATTACGTCGTGTTTGCCTTGACTCTGGCCCCGGCATGCAGGACGGATTCTTTGACAGCCCTAGCCCTGCGGTTTGTGGTCTGTGCGCCACATGTCCTGCTCCTGCCGTTGACTTGGCCCACACAGCAACTATCAATCACTTGGTAGATGCGGTTGCCCAGGAGCGAATCACTTGGCTAGGCGCACTAAACCGCATTATTCATAATTAAAATCGACAAGCTTGAGCCTCTGCTCCATCACGTTTTAAATGATAGATGTCTGGGCTATTCTATAATCAATTTGCAACTATTGTTGTCCGCATAGATGCATCACTCAGTGCGAATTGGCTTTGGGCTTTTGCGGCAAGTGGGCAAGTAGACTCTATTCTCTGTGAGCTCGGCATTGGGGCAATGTATTTGCATGTTGGCATTTCAGTGGTTGGCTCATCATCGCCCCCCGGTTGCTGGCCTATGTTATGCATGCATGCATGAATCTAATTCGATTTCAAACCAAAACTGAGAAACGATTCGATGCGAGGCCTTCTTCGACAACACAATATGAAATACCAAAAAAATGCAATTAAAACGCCAAAACCATTTGAAGCCAAGCTTGAGGCTTGTCTACTCGATGGCATTAATATGCATACCAGACAAGCCCTGGCAGTAATAATGAAGGAGCAAGATCTTCAGCAGCTGACATGAGTATAGTATTTCACAGTCACATTGCAATAATTTGCAGCTTGGCTATCTATCTAAGATCTTAATAAATATCTCAGTTGGAAAGCAATAACTAACCTCAGTTAAAGATAAAACTGAATCAAAAATAAATATAAATACATATATGAATATAATATATTGTATATCTAATAGAAGTTCAACCAACTGCTGATGGCAACTTGTTAATTGAAAAAGTTTTACTTCTCGCAGCTGGCAGAGTATTCAAAGCTGTCTGCTCTCTCGCAGTCAATTTAGCGCATTGTTAGGCCCACGCGGCGTATGTGAAACATTCATTTACCACAGCAATGGCTCACACACAAAACATAAGCAACGAAAATGCAAATGAGAATGTGCTAAAAGCCAGCCTCAAAACCGCTGACATATGCAATTAATTAATTTAAACATAAAAGCGCTGCTGCTGCAAAAGTATATTTAACTTGCTGCGGGCTGAGGGGCGAACAGGTGGCAAGGGCGGTAATTGTGATGATGGGTGTTGTGCACCTGTAGACGGAGAGACAGCCAGGTGGCTGGTTAACGTTGTTTTTTTTTTTTTTTTTAATTTTTCTCAGTTTGTTGTTAATTCATATTTTAAGCAGCTTAAATGTTGCTAATTAGTTGAAAATCACGCTATTCATTATATGATGCAATCGGCTTAGCCCAGATATTGTGGGAGTAAGCGAAAGGAGAAAGGTACCTCATACAGTTAAAGCAGCCATGACATATTCCTACAAAACTTTTTAATTAAATACAATACATAAAGGGCAATGTTTCAGTCATTCCATTGAAACGTCCAAAGTGTAGGCTTAATGTTGACAATATGAGCTCCTTCAATCAAATCAATAATGAATATTAAGTCGCTATGATCTGTTAAGTCTGTCCGTCAGAATGCTAAATTGAATTTAATTTGAATATTTTAAAAGCCTAATTTCAAATTCAATATTTACGTAGACAATGTTTAGGTCAAGTGCATAATAAAATAATTACGTTTAAGTGAGTAATTGAGCAGCTCAGAGCGGGCTCAAAGGCATCTGAAACGGCGACTTCGTATCGTTGCTCTGCATGTAAACAATATGAATGGCTTTTTCTGTGGATGGCCAAAATTGAATACCAGACAATATACAGCCAACTAAGTCGGCTAGCAATATAAAAGCTTTTATACGTCGTAATAAATGCTAATGGCTGAGATATTTAAGGATTACGCATGCATTCGCCATAAACAAAGTTAATTGTCGCAAACAGCTTCAGAGCTTCAATCCCTTGGCCATTAAACCATCCTGTGCATCCATCATATAGACACTTGAGATTAAAAATGAAATACGATATAAATTCACTTTTCTGTTTCATGGGCTGACGGAAACATATTCATTAAATGAGCAGATTTTAAATGATGTCAGACACAACGGCATGAATGCTGCCACAAGAGAGGGGAGTAGCACACCGTTATTTTTATGATAATTTTCATAGCATATTGTATTTTTATATATTGGCAGCCTTTTAAGATATGGCATCGCATCATTTGTGGCTGCTCATGATACAAAAATTAGTGTTATTTGTTGCTATCTTGATGCTTCGTGTTTTCATTAACAGTGAGAGTTACCAAACTTTCTTTTTTTTTTTTTTTTGAATGAACACAATTTCATATATAATCATTTTAAATTTGTTTTTATTCATACTGTATTAAATCTAAATTATTGGAGACTTTCTTTTCTAATAATAATAATAATTATAATATATGAGTTAAAATATGTAGTATATGCAGGTTCGAAAAAGTATGCATGGGAAAAAGTTTTAGTGCTAAAATAGAAGACCTTTAAGTGATTTAGAATTTAATACTATTTATCCTATATACTAAAATATCTTATTTGGAAAACTCATACCAGGGGACTAACAGTCAAGCACTGCAGATGACTTGCTTGCCGTTTCCTTCTTTTCTCTCTACCCATTCGCAATCAATGCCACATATAAATAACCAAAGTAGCTACGCTAAGCCGTATGTAGGGCTACATTTAATGTCATTGCTTGTTGTTAATTAAATTTCTAATTTTAACTATTTTACAATTGAAACAATTAGCTAGAGGGTAAGAGTCTGAGCTGAATCTGTTTCATAGACAACAGAGCATTTTGTGAGTGAATGTGTAATAGAATTAGAAAAGTTGGATTCCAGATGCGAGAGCTAAAACAGCAGCTGCAGCATTTAATTGGCAATAAAAAGTGAACAAAAAATGTCATGGAGCAGCTAGAGAGGGTCGCCCTCTGAACTATTTGATCTAGTTCTAAATTTGTTAGCTAATAGAGTGAGAAAAGCTTTAAATAATTATTTAAATTACGCGAAATGAAAAAACAAACTGACGATCAAATATCTGGCAATAAATATATTTTATATTCCCCTAAACAAATTAATTTATTTCTAAGTCTAACATTACGGATTTTGTATAAAATGTTACTCTATTCTGCAAAGATTTTAATATTAAAATAAATTAAAAATAAATCTAAAAATGAGAAATAGAAGATGGTTTGACCTAGCTTAGTTCTATTTCTAATTTTTGGATAGAATTTTATTGGCGCGTCTATATATATGGCAGATACATATACAAATAGCACTTTGAACTCTTAAAGCGTGAAATATTTGTTCTTTTCGTTCGACATTTATACCAAGCCATTTAGCTATGAAGAAATGAATGCTGCATTTTATTTTCATTTTTATTTGTATGCCGCATGAATTGTACTTTTTGTTGAACTCCAGTTGCCAAGTACTTAGCAGCAAGGCGCTAAAAGTCTTCTTTGTCGATTTTTGGATAAATTTTTAAACAACAATTTCGAAGAAAATAAGAACGTTTTATGTTTTTAGTGCAACGGTGCCAGCTACAGCGCCAGCTTCAGTGGGGCAATGCCAGTTGGCCTTCGGTGACCAATGCGAAATGTCATACATTTTTAAGGAGCACTTTCAAGTATTTTTATGTGGCCGGATTGTTATTAAGCTGCTCCCGATAAGGCAGGCAGTGTACGAGATAAGCAAGAGCAACAGAACGGGCACAAAAAACAACACGCCGCAGGATGTTGCTTTGAATTAAAGTGGTCTTGTGTGTGTGTGTGTGTGTGTGTGTGTGTGTGTGTGTAGGCGCTTAGGTTTTGTTTGTAAAGTTAAATGGTACAATGCGTTGATTAAACGCACACCCACTCCAGCACACTCTAGCACACACACACACAGAGAGAAAAAACGGACACTTACACTTACAGCCACACAAATTGCCCAATGGCGGCAGCCAAGCGAGCAACGCAGCAAAGTCGACTACAATAATATTGCGCAGGAGGCGAGTCGCAGAACCTGTGCACCCAACAACAATGACAGAAACAAAACACAACAATAATAGCAACAAGAGCAACAACAGCAACAGCTGTTGATACAGCTCCCTTCGGCAGCACGCCTCCTTTATCTGTCCGCCCAATTGGCTGTCTGACTGTCGGCTTTCTGTGCGTTCGCCATGTAGGCGAGTGTATAAGTGCAAATATGAGCGCCCGACGCGTCGGAAGTAGTGTGATTTACAGGCACGACGCGGCAACAGCCCACGAACGCGCATAATAAGCAAAGCCAGCAGCGACATCAAGCTCTGCAGCTGCGTTGAGTTTCCATTTACGTTCCATTCGCCAGCTTTACGGCCCAATGGAGCCTGTGTACTTTAGTACCTTTACAGTGTCATCTAAGCAGTTCCGCCACTTGAACTGCTGTTTTTTCTTGTTTCGCTCCCCATCCTCCTCTTCGCTTTTTATTGCCAGAACAAACAAACAGGAAGTATACGAAAATAGTTGCTTAGGTTTCAAAAAGCCGCTTTCAAGTATTTCACAAGAATGCAAATATTTTAATGGGAAATTACTTTGAAGTCAGCTCATTGAGCAATTTACAAATAGCATAAATATTTATTAAAGCAATGTA